ACACACAACTCAGGAGTTGTGGCAATACAGTTCAGTGGCCAGGCCACACCTTGGACGAGAAGTTGCACTCCTTCATCCTGTGCTCCTCAGTTGCTGTATCAAGAGGAAGCTCTGGTCAGGCCAGATTTTGTGTGAAGGGCATGTTTCAAACCGAGAAAGGACACATCAGCATTGACGCCATCGCACAAAGCAATCTTATCGACGACTTCATGCTTACCATCTATGCCGCTTCTAGGCCAACTATGCCGCTGCGAATGCGTATTTGGACGAGCTGGCGCGCTTGAGGGTAGCACATGAGCTGCCTGCTGTCAGCATTCAATGGTGCGGGACCCCAGCCACGAGACTTGAGGGCCAAGCCAAAGGGAAAGTCAGGTTTTCCTCTCTTTGTGTTTGTCCAAGGCCTGCAGTTGCTCCTTGGCTTGAGGAGACTGTACAAACGAGACATCTCTCGAGACAGCACAAGCAGGAATAAGTTGGCAGTGTCCATGAACCCCGGGAAGTTTTGTGCTTCTGTTCGTTTTTCCTTTGTAGTTTCTACAGCAGATTTAAGTTTGAGAGTTAGTTCAATTCAAAGACTGATTGTTTGCAAGAAATTGTTCTGGTTTCGCGTCTCTTTGTCAAGACTTGGAAGGAGCCTGAGGAAGGGCCTGTCGCACAGGTTTGGAATGGTGTACCAACAGGCAAGTTAAATCCTTGGCATCGTCTGTCACAAATTTGGATCTTTCTTTGATGAGTTGTCGTGTGACTCTTCCATTGCAGGCTTGGAGAAGAAGACCAGTACAAGCAGCATCAGCCTCACTGTAGTAAGGCGGAGATCAGTGAGATCAGTAACATGACCAGCCTTTGCGCCCACTGAGAGCATGGTAGGCAAGTGGTAAAGCTCTCCGTGCTTGGAATCAAGCCCATAGAGCCTGTCCAGGCAGGGTTTTTGCACTTAGGTTCAATTGTCAATTGTCCTCCAGACTGTACGGAAGGATTTGGCTTTTTGGTTGAGCATGTGAGGGCTAAAGCCTTTAGTTGCAAGACGTGGAATTGTTGTTCCGAATTCTCCTGTACTCAGAGTTGAAAAAAGTGCGTGGCATGACATGTGTCGGGTTAGCGGACATGTTTCGACCATGTTGTTCATCCCTTTTCGATGCAGTCGGGGAAGCCTACCGCCTTTCGTGATCCCGTGACGAAGCGACAGGCAGTACTTCCTGGCGCGTACCTGTCTGCAACGTCTCCAACCGTGCTGATCTTACCTTCCAAAGCGACCAAACCGACCAGAGCATGAGGAGCCCCGAACGTAGCGTCCTTGCTCCTAGTAGTAAGGCCAGGAGCCCCTAGTAGCAAACATTGCTCCTAGTAGAAAGGCCAGGAGCCCCTAGTAGCTTCTTGTTCCTACTAGCGATGGCCTCCAGTCCTCCAAAGCTGTTGACTTGTTTCACGTCTTCGTAAAGCTGTGCGTCCCCTTGAATATGCAGCTTTTTTAGAGTCATGCTTTTCTTTGGAAGATTCAATTTGTTGTGCACTTTGATATGTTTGCCAACAACAGACCATCGAAATCAGTCACCATGAGCTAACACACAAATTAAATCAACACGCAGTTTGCCAAAAACTCAAGACATTTGGAGTTTAGACCACACATTCACCATCTCAAGCTCCAAAAGCCAAAGCAAGCAGCATGGACGCGGTCCGGCGTTCTTTTTTGATATCACTGACCTAGATTTCCACATGTCATGCTAGCTCCTCAGGGTGTTATGCTTCAAGACTAGTGTTCCTTTTAGAGAACAATGAGCCTTTCAATCCAGTCAAGAGTATCAGTATATGGCTGTTCTCTCAGAAGGATCCAACTGCCCTCCCATGCCTATTAACCCGCATTCTGAACTCCGAGATGAATTCACCAATTGAGCAAACTGGAGCCCACGCTTCAGCACAAGAGTCGAAGCAGAACATTCCACTCGGGCGATCCACTTGGGGTCGGGTCGCACACTGAAACTGTCGCAGAGAAGTTTCATGAAGCCTAAGAAAGTGGGATTGTGTAGCGATGGCCTCCAACCTAATTACTAGCGATGGCCTGGACCTAATAGTATGTGAGTAATTTTGAACTTTGTCTAGAATGACATTTGAATTCTTGAGGCCTCCTGGCATCGCTACTAGGAACAAGAAGCTACTAGGGGCTCCTGGCATCGCTACTAGGAGCGATCGGACGCTACGAACGGAGCTTGAGGACAATTTGAGAAGACTGGAGCTCACCATGTTGGTCCTTTGCATTCGGTGCATCAGAAATTCTACACTTGCTTTCAGCGCGGGGGTCACGGGATCCCCCCATGGCCCATGGGGGGATTCTTTACAGCGTCCGCTGTGAAAGAACTGACTCATACTGTAGCAGAGATCAAGCATTCTGTTTGGCCATGTCAAAAAGAGCCCCTAGTAGCTTCTTGCTCCTAGTAGCGATGCCAGGAGCCCCCAGTAGCGCCCTTGCTCCTAGTAGTAAGGCCAGGAGCCTCTAGTGGCTTCTTGTTCCCAGTAGTATGTAATGTGAGTTAATTCCCTTAGGAATGCAGCATCCACGTGATGCAGCGAAAAGCCGATTCACCAGAACCATGAGGCTTTGATCAACATGATTGCACCGTGAATTTCAACGTCCGTCTTCAACACATCCAGCCATACTGCCATGCTGGAATCATTTTGAGTCTTTATATTTTTTTAGTGACTACGGAGTTGTTGGAGTAGCTGCAGCCAAAGTATATATCTGCCGCAAAGTAGATCACAACGACGGCGGAGCACCGACCACCACAAACCACCAAAGGCCACCGAGAGGCGCCCAAATTGGTACAAAATCACAGGAACTTGTCAGCACTGTCAGCACGTGTTCATTGAACATTACACCTTGCAGTGCGGACCACACCATATATCAAGTTGTCCACCACAAGCTGACCTTGAGATGCCAACAACCTTTCGCAGAAAGATACATTTTCACTGCTCATCAAAGATCTTGTTGCAACATGAAACACAACTTTCTCACCAGCTCCGTTTTCTGAGAGATCCACCAACTCGATCACACCCTTCTACCAACTGTAAATAGGCACTTCTTAGGGCTGAAGGATTTGGTGTGAACAAGAGGCTACTGTACTAGTAAAAAGGGCATCGCTACTAGGAGCAAGAAGCTACTAGTAGCAAGAAGCTCGTAGGTTGGAGGCCATCGCCACTAGGGTGGAGGCCATCGCTAGTAGGTTGGAGGCTATTACTACTAATAGCAAGAAGCGAAGAAGTGCCTATTTAGTCGAAGTCATCTCAGCTGAGGTGCGAAGTCTTTTACATCCACTGTTGGCACGGAGCCATCACAAGGTGCTGCTGCAGGTAATTTCATGAGCTGGAAGGTGATAGTATTGCTGGACAGAGGATCTGAAGAACTCTGCACTTCATCCTCTAGTCAGGGCCCACTTTCAATATTGTTTTGCAGGGTTGCATGTTACAGAACTTCCAGGGCCAGCTTAAGTCCTGCGTCGTGTGCTTTTTGATCCATTTTGCCTTGTCCTTCAGGAGCGGGATGAAAACTCGATCGGTTTGGCGACTGACAAGCCGGGCCACAGGTTCCAATTCTTAGCTTTGTTGGACGATTCAGGGATAGAACACCTCAGCTTGAAGTCAATATCAATGCCAAAACAGACCAAAGTGTAGATGTTTGTGGACATTTTACAGGTTTCTGATTGTTTCTGAAGCATTTTGAAGAGCATCCGGCTCGTGTTTGTTTGCCAGCTCACATCCCAAGGATTCCTATCAGCGGGGCTAAATTGTGCCTTCAGCTCACTTGAGAGCGACATAGGAACATGTTTCGACACAACGACTTAGCGTAGTACATCCTCCACATGAGTTTAGAACGATGAGGAAGCATTTGGCCATTCGGCCACCCTTGTGTAGTGACTGGGAATAACCTCAGGTGGTGTCTATTCTGTGCACCACAATGTGGATATGGTCACGATTTGCCGATCGCGAAACACGCACCTGACCTGGGGTTAGGACCACTAGGACCAGGTAGTTTGCGTCTCTTCCAAGCTGTTTCATGGCCACCACTTCTAGCACGTTTGAAGCAGCTGGTTTGAAGGGATCCAATCAGTCAGAGATGTCGACATGTTGACTGGTGGGGGCCAGCAGGGGTGGTTGATTTTCGTTGCAGCGAGCAGCGGAGAAAAGCATGCCACGACCAAACCGAGTGATTTCGAAGACCTTCTCACATTTGCCAGTGAAGAGTGTGTTGGTGCCTAGGTGGACCATGGTGAATCCTTGAACAAGATTTTCCCGTACAGCACCTGAACCTAAGGCCTAATGCTTGAGGCATTTGAATTGCCCAAGCGTCCTTGGCAAAGGGTTTGGCAGGGTGGCAACCTTTCCAAGTTGCCGAAGCATTGGACTGTGAAACCTTACCTGGGCCCGTGCAAAAACGGTTGGGACAAACCCCGTGAGCTATTGGAGGCTTCTTGTTCCTAGTAGTAATGCCAGGAGCTACTAGCAGCTTCTTGTTCCTAGTAGCGATGGCCTCCTGGTACAGTAGCGTTTGCTACTAGTAGCGATGCCCTTTGTTACTAGTAGCGTCCTTCCATGAGAACTCTATCATTCTTCGATGCTCGTTTCGCATTGAAAGAAGATCTGGCCATCCCTCCCTAGTGGGAAATGGTCTTGGAGCTCCAAAACCAGAAAACCAATGGCATTGCAACCTTCTGGGCGTTTGAAAGAAACAACTTCTTTGCACTGCCGGTTGCACAGCATGCCTTGTTTTCATGTCAAAGTAGGTTTTACTGCTCAGATGTTCAAGACAAGCAGATCAGATCATCATTCGCAGCATCGAACAAAAGACTCCTCCACACAAACAAGCATGGACGAAAAACGGTAAGTTGTCAAACAACTTGGTTTTTGAACCATTGAAGTTCTCATGCCTTTGCCTCCGGCAGAGCTCAAACCACAGACCGAAAGACTAGACCAGATCATTGACATTTGCCCTGAACGCAAGTGACGGCGCTATGACAGATGGAGGGCTTAGCTTTGGTGCTGCCACTGAAGGTTATGAGGAGGATCCACAGGCCGGTAAAGCAACATGTTTGATCTCCACATCGGTTCATCCTCAAAGTTTGAACCATCCATCCCGTTCGTGTCAGTTCTTGATGACTTCAACACACGTCTCTCTTGCCGGGAAATATCTTGCACATCAACATCAACATAACTCTTGTTCTTGTGTTTTTTTCAACTTGAGTCTTTGAAGCAGAAGAATCCCGACTGCGAGGCAAAGCTTTGCAATGAAGTTTGCGTGGAGGACAGGTTCCGCTCGTCTCTGTGATTGTCAGACCTCTTCAGAGGCATGCTAGGAGCAAGGACGCTACTAGTAACAAGAAGCTGCTAGGTGGAGGCCATCGCTATTAGGGTGGAGGCCATCGCTACTAGTAACAATAAAGCTTTTTCGTTCAATTCTACCGCATTCCAGGTCTTCAGCGTGCTGCAGAAGATGCGAAACTCTGTGGTCTCAGCTGAGAAGGGCCAATATATCTTTGAAATAGGTTGGACCTTTTCAGCCAATGCTACCTTGCAAGAGTGCCTTAGGCGGTCTGGAATGCCAAACAACGCGACAAACCGTTCCATCTCCTGTCTAGTTCCATCTAGTACCTACCAAAAGATGCATGGCTGGATTCCGATTTGTGTCAGAAGATGTGGAAAGACTAGATCACATGGTTTCCATGCAATACTGTACCACTTCGCCAAAAGCAGCAAAGCACATCACCATATCGCGAGTTGGACTTCACCACCTCACAAATCATTAAGACAAACACATCGGCAACAGATCACCACGCATTGCTAACAGCAGCACACTGCACATTCCACAGGTCGCATGGCTTGTGCTTTCAAATCTGCTCGGATTGTCTGCCAGAGATGGCTGGGTAAGAATCTATGACCCTGCAAACTTACATTGAGGTCAGGATTCTAAAGGCAAAAAGGGTGTAAAGGTCGAAAGAAACAGGTCTAAAGAAAGAACATACAAAACAACAGGAAAACGTAAAGTTCTAAAGAAAATGTCTAATGGTCTAAAGAACACGGGAAAAAAACAAAGGAATCAGATACTCAGATTTGTTTCATGTGGGCCGTAGGCCAACACAGATGTTTTGCTACTTAGATTGAGGGCAGGATGACAGCTTACTAATATATATATATATATCCCGATCCTTGCACGTGCATGCAACAAGTAAGAAGCGCAACAGACGGGTCATCCGTTGTAGGTGCTGGCACTGGCGGCACAACCTCTTTCGTACTTCCAACCCTCAACCCACACAGCACGAGGCAGGGCAGAATGCGCTCTTTTTCCATAGCAGCAGCTGAGAAGCGTGCTCCATTGCTTGAAGGTATGTGTTCACAGACCTCTCTCAAGCGTTTCTTACGAACGCAAGACAACGTTTCAGTAGGCAGGGTGCATGTTGTTTCAACAAGCTTTTCTGGGAATTTCAGAAGCTGTGATGTGCATCCAGTCGGCTCATGTTGAGGTTTCCTTTCATCGAGTATGCTATTTTCAATGGAGACAAACATCCGGGTGATCAGGCAGCGCTACATCCAGCTTCCTTGCATCGTGTGTTTAAAACAATTTGTACAACAAACAAGCCTAGGTGGGAGGCCATTGCTCTTAGGTTGGAGGCCATTGCTATGAGGTTGGAGGTCATTGCTATTAGGTTGGAG